TCTAGCTCTCTCAACCTTTGAGGCGCACGGTAAGTAAGTAAGTAAGTCCAACCAGTTGCAGAGTCCTTTGAAGTGCAAACTGAACGTCTTAACAAGCGACTGGCCACTGGGTTGATCCATCAAAATCTAGCCTTGTCAAAGAAGTAATCTCTTAACTGCAGAGCACCTACCGGGTTGCGTATCTCTCAAAATTCTCAAATATACGCGCGATGGATCAGCCACCAATCCCTCTCAGGTCCACAAGCGGAAGATCACGACAGTGTCCACTTGGCAATCCTGCCGTGAGTTCGGTATCCGACGGGACACTTGGATCGATCTTGACTTGGTGGGTGGGTGACGGTGTGTTTTGGCAAAGGGACCCAGAGTCAGGCATGTTCGGCAAATGTGAGTTACAATTTGTGCACGCTAGCATTTGGTTTCAAGAGGCATAGAGCTATCGAAGAAGGGTTGTCATTGTCTCTGGCTTCATGGCATCGTCCGCTCGACAACTAGCACGTCCGAGCGACAGCGACAGTGAAAGCGAATCGGAAACCCTAGAGTTGGGATTCTGGGCCAAGCTTGACGGTTCAGATTTCGAATGGCAGAAATGCCAGCCTGGACATGGGTCTGAGCTCTACGTGCGTGCTCTGCAACTGTTGGGGCTGGACATGGCTCAGGCTGTGCCAGGGAAGGTTCGCCGGGAGGCGATTGTGGCTCTGGGGCAGGACCCGACAGGTGATTTGATCATTGGTAATTTCAAGAAGACCGTGAAGGAGCGCACTTTGAATCTTGAACGCAAAACCGCACCTACTCACCTATCTTTCTAAAGCTTGAACGTGACAGTTTCTTTGCTGAAGCACATGGGGGGACCATGTTCAATGATTGCTTTCGGAATTGAATAAGGATCAAGAACTTTTGGATCCTCCATGCCATGCTGAAATTCGAGTGCTTCCAATGTCGCAAGCCCTCTCAAACCGAACTGGGGATTTGTTTGGAAGCTCTCAATGACCACTACAAGGCTTGTACAGTGTCTGTCAAAAGTGTTTATTATGTGCGCGCAGTTGATGCTAGCATGGTTGATTTGAATAAAAACGTCTCGGCCGCACCACTCCTGTGAGGGCTTGGCCATTCGCGGAAATCCAGACTTCGAACCTTGGGTGCAAAATTGCGCTAAGATCAGGCTGAGCATGGACCAACCCAGCTTTCTTTCCAACACAAATAGATGTTAAGACATGAAACTTCAAGGCTTCAGAAAAAGGTCAACAAACCTGTTGAGGGGAGATCTAACTCTAAGGATTACGATGAGATGATGAAAATGAACATCCAAAAATGCCAGAAGCTTTGGTCCGGTCTTCGAAGGACTGCATAAACTATACCCCATGCACGTTTCCATTCTCGATCATACGGCACGAACATGAACATGGTTCCAGGAAATGGCAGAATGCACAACATTCTTCAAGGTCGCCGTGGGTCCAAGTTTGCAAGGACTTGATGCGCAAGGCATCCCCTTCCCCTATGGACCAGGTTGCCGCACAGGCATTTGCAGGCTGTGCATACCGAGAGGAGCCTTGGCCCGTTCCATGTGCGGGCACATACCATGCGAGCGCTAGCTCTTCGCCCTCTTCTTCTGATGGTGTCCCTGATGGGTTTATGGGCGTGGAGGATGTGGTGGCCCATGATGGGGCTTCGGAGGCTGAGTCTGATCTTTAGCTCAACTAGCTCAAAAGCAAAAGAACAAAAGATGTTATCATAGAACAGGCTTGTGCCATCAAGAGAGTATCATAGAACATCATTGCAATGATCTCGTGAGGACAGTGATGTTGGAAGTGACATCTGGTCGAACGTCATCAGAGGAACATTAGAACCCATTGCTGATGCACCAGCTGCTTCACCGCCCAATCCCGATCTGCCGGCCATTTGCGACATGGAGGTCATGGGTTCTTCCTATGGTTCTACTTCATTTTCAATAGTTTTGTTTGACCAAGGGGTCTATCCTCACACGCCTCAAACAATCTGTTGGGTGTATCGGGCGTTCGCCATCCCCACCCTTTCAGGACCCAGACGGCTTCAACGAGGCAGTTGAGGGTCTGGACCCTGATCCTGTGAGCACGGGTATCAATCGTGAGCGGCGCAAGCGGAAGGGGGCTGATGGGTCCAAGAAAAAGAAAACCAAAAAAGCAAAGACTGACAAGAAGAATGCTCCGGATACACCTGCTCTGAGTCAAGAGGATGAGCGAACTGTTCTAGAGTCTTTTCAGAACAGTACCAAACAATCATTCGCAAGCTTCCTATTTCCCTACGCCCATTGAGTACGCGCCATGGAGAGCACTCTTACACAGTGTTCCTGGGATTTGATTATGGTTGGGCAATGATTTGATTCAGTGGACCAACCATGATTGGGACACGTTGTGATCCAATGGACCGCCCATGAACAACATGCACCCTATTAGGGGGGTACTGAGGCGGAAGGGCTCTGCCCGCGTGGAGGTGTTGCTGCGACAGCAGGGCTTCAAGGCCAAAGCGGACATTGATGGGAAGACCTTGACTGGGGAGAAAGCCAAGCAGACTCTCAGCGAATGAGCTTCTGTTCACATGAGGTTTTGTTTCTATAGAAGTCTTCACTATTCTCTAAGACTATATGAAGGTTGCGTCTACAGTAGAAGTGCAATCAAGTATGAAATCACCGGAATTGCCCTTTCAAACAATATAAGAGCATGTCTCATGCCGTGTCCATACTGAGGATTTCCTTCGCCAAGGATATTGACTCCGCCTGGGCTAAGGTGGCCAAAAACATTGGCCTGCCAGATGAAACCGGTTGAACTCATTTTAGATCGTCCTAAATTCAAGGTGGAAACGCCGATTCGGTTAGGCGTCCGGGCCAAGCCATGTAGGATTGCCTGCATGCAGGGGAGCGCCTGTCGCAGCCGATTCGCTGACTCGCAAAAGATATGGATGCGTGTGTGTAACATGTATGTGTGGCAGCAATAGGCATATTTGTCAATGTCAGCTGTTGTACAGTTTGATGGGCAAAACCCCTAGTAGCGTCCTCTTGCTCCTAGTAGTAAGGCCAGGAGCCCCTAGTAGCGTCCTCTTGCTCCTAGTAGTAAGGTGAGGAGCCCCTAGTAGCGTCTTCTTGCGAAGCTGCCCAGGAATCAAATGGTGAGCCGGTGCATGATCTTATGCCTCATTATGGGCTTATTGCGCATCCCGTTCATACTGGAGCAACCTGCTTCTTCCCTGATGCAATTTCACCCTCTTTTCGAATATGTGTGCAAGAAGCTGGACATCTACAGGGTTTCTCATTTGCAAATATTCCGAAGAGCTTCTAATATGCGTGCAGCTTCTCGATGAACCTTCAGCCTTTTCAGCTTTCCCAGGCATTTGTTTGGATTGGCTCTTATGGAGGAGGAAGCGCCTTGTCTGGGATTTGGGAACGTGTCTCTTCAGAAGAAGTGTCCTTGTTGAGAGGGTTTAGTGAAAGGTTTATGAGCTGGAACTTCAGGGCCATCTTCTCCAGAAATCTATATTCATCCCTGTTCCCCGGTTCATTCAGTTCGAGCCCGACTCCCATCTTCACACACTCCAAGGTCCAAAGCCTACATTCTTCTACAGCAACTACGCCTGGGTGCAGGAGTTATACCTGCCCTTGCCGACCAACACCAACTGGGAGGCAGACATGTCGATCAAGCGGCTTGGCAAACCATAAAGATCCTGCTGCATGCCTTCAAGGAGGTTCCGTTGGTGTGAAGAGGTTTCCGCATATGCTGCACATATATATATATACTTTAATCATATGTCAGATATACATATAAATGTCAGCTATATGTTTACATATACACGTCATCATGTGTCCATGTTCCAGGTACATCGATCGGCAAGGGGTCGCAAGGGTGACCGGAGGCTCTGAGCTGAAAGTGTCTCAACATTACCCAGCATTGCTGGGTGATGCAGTAGCCCAGCTCTACGATCAACATCGTCCAGAAATCAAAAAAGCGGTGGTGGCTCGAAGGCTGGTCGGATCAGTGAAGCTACAAACAACAAACAAGAACTGTTATTGGAGCTTTGTGTAAGCAACCTAGAGAGAGCTAGGTTCAATGGAGAGCTAGGTTCAATGCAAAAATTCACCACCTATAGGACCTTATAGATTCGCAACCAACATGGAGCCCCAGGTAAAAAGGATATATGACGCCTGAACCTCTCGCATGTCGATCGTACAGGAAAGAGCTACTGAAGCTAAAGAAAGGAAGCAAGCCATTGAAGGACTGTGATAATGATCCTTTCACTCCATATCTGTTTTATATGATTATAATAGTTCCATTCATATGTAGGTATGTGTAAGACATTTCCCGGTTTCCCGGGTTCCCGGTTTCCCGGGCATTTCCCGGTTTCCCATTTCCCGGTTTCCTGGGCATTTCCCGGTTTCTCGGGTATCTAGAAAAGCTGAAGCCTGCAGCCATCCATGACTGATCCCACAAGAAGTTCTCTTCAACCACTATAGCTCCCTTTGGGTATTCATGGACAGACCTCAAAAGCAATATAGCCATCCACGGATCCCCTTCTCAACGCTGCCTGCATGCAGGACCAGAACTGGGCAGAGAAAGCTGACCTGATGCAGGTGATCAACGCATTGCAGCGTTGACCGGCCCGTGATTGGAGCTGCATGGAAGGCCATGTTCCACCCATGTTCCATAAATCAAAGAATCCACCGGTTTGATAAGGCCATGTTCCACCCATGTTCCATAAAGCAAAGAATCCACCGGTTCTGATAAGTTTTTTGTTTTTTT